TAACGAAGGCCAGGCAGGTGCTGCCGGCCACCACCCACCTCAGGGCCACCTCCTGCCCCTGGGACAGGACCAGCATCCCCTTGGCGAGGAAGAAGAGCAGGACCTTGCAGGCGTTGAGGGGCAGCCAGGAGCAGAGGAAGGCTGCGACGATGGTGACGATGGCGCGGTGGGAACGCCGGACGCCCCTGCCCAGCCGGACATGGCGCTGGAGCCGGCAGTAGATGGAGCAGTAGCAGAAGGAGATGACCCCCAGGGGCAGGAGGAAGGTGAGGAAGACCATGGCCAGGCTGAAGTCCTCTCCATCTTCATCCCAGCAGTCATCCCCATCCAGCTGCCGGTAGACCAAGGACGGGGCGCCCAGGAGGAGGGACACTGCCCAGATGATGCCGCAGGTGACGCGGATGTGCCTCTGGGAACCCATCATCTTGGTGTCCAGCACCTTCCTGATGACCAAGTAGCGCTCCACGCTGAGGGCGGTGAGGAAGAGGATGCTGGAGCAGCGGTTGACGGCGATGGCATAGCTGCTCACCTTGCAGAGCCCTTCGCCGAGCAGCCAGCGGTTCCCCCGCGCCCCCGCAGCCACCCAGAAGGGCAAGGTGCAGACGAAGATGACATCAGCCACCGCCAGGTTCAGCACGAAGGTGTCCACCATCCTCTTGCTCCCACTCTTCTTGGCCATCAGCACGATGACAAAGAGGTTCCCCACGAGGCCGAGGAGGAAGATGAAAGAGTAGAGGATGGGGATGAAGACTGTGGTGAAGAAGAACTCCCACTTGGAGGGGAGTTCCTGGTTCTCCGTCGTGTTGGTCACCGGTGGGTAATCGTAGTCGGCGGAGCCGCTGAGCTCCTCGGGAGCCATGGTGGTGGTCGGGTGCCCGCCCCGGTGCCCGGGGCGGTGCTGGCCGCGCCCGGCGGTTGGGTTGTTGATCTGAAATCTGCTCAAAAACAGCATCTCGCACTTCCTTTCCAACGGGGCAAGGGCTGCGGGGTGGAAGGGGCAGGAGGTGAAGCGCGTTTAATTTTGGAAACAGAAAAGAAAAAAACACAACGAGAAGAAAGAAACAGCCAAAAAAGGAGGGGGGAGAGG